TGTGTTTGCCTACAAACATTATCTNTATCTATTTACTTTTATTGTATTTGTCACACTTTCGATAAATTCTTTGTTGGTGGTGTGTGAGCTGTTAATGTTAATTGCTAGTTTTGTTATCATGAATTAAAGATTTTATTTTGAATCATTAGGCCTACTGGTGTTGTTACATGTACCTGAAGGCTGCCCAAATGAATGATCGATGATTTTTAAAATGAGAAATATCAATATTATTCTTTCATAATAATGAATACAGTATTTTCAATTTGGCATTTTAAATGACCAGACTACTTAATATCGCTTCGATACTCCGACGTAGCAGCAACTTCTCGTTTTGTTCCATAATCCGATCAAGGCAGTGGTAAATGAGTGGACTATTCCATTTTTTAGCAATATTTGTGTTTAAAAGTAAAAGACCAACTAAATATGAATAACAACTGCTGTTATGTTCATTGATATTCGCAATATAAAGCGCATTTGCCGTTTTATTGTCTTTTATAGACCCCCTGCGCTACATATTGCCTTGCATCTTATCTAACAAACTCTGACGCAACGTTATCTGCGCACTTCCGGTTTTGTTCCATAATCCGGGGTTTGAGAACAACATGAAGTTAACCATTATATTAGCGTTTTTCTCCAATAGTAACCCCAATCATATGGATTAAGCTTTACAAGATAGTAAATAAAGCTCTATCGTAGCTACATGCAAAGTATTAGAGGTTAGTTTACGTTCATTTTTATACACAGACTGTGCAAAGCCGAAAAACGTCAAATATCGTTCCATAATCCGGGGTCGAGGTCTATATGAGAGAGAGAGAAAGAGAGAGAGAGAGAGAGAGAGAGAGAGAGAGAGTTGGGGGGGGGGGGAGAGAGAGAGAGAGAGAGAAAAGAAGGTGAGAAAGAGAGCAAGAGGGAAAGAGAGAAAAAGAGAGACAGGGAAAAGAAAGAGAGAGAGAGAGTGTTGACTAAGTTGCAGGTGTTGATGTGGAAGGCACTGGATGGCTCAGGTGTTACAGATCATTTGAAGGATGCCTCTACAGTGGGAAGTCATGAAATTAATTCAGTTTCTAAGAACAAACAAAACAACCAATTATTTCCACACAGGTTAACCTACATATTCACCAATTTCTTGGTGATATTTGGATACGGTATACCTTGACGTAGAGGTGAAAGTGGCAGGCATTTTTCAAGGAATAATTTAATTTTTGTATTTATGGCAGTCCATCGATCCCAGCACCATGCCTGGTTATTTGTCAGCCTTGCTGTCTCCTTTTAAATTTTTGTTCAGGAATATTGAATTTCATTATCATATTGCAGTACCGGTACATCGTTCTGTAGCCTCACTGATTTTGTCATAACTGTAAAGAAATAAATTGCAGTTCGTTGTAATGCCAGTTAATAACTTTTATTATTTTGACACGAAAAGGACAACTTGACAGACACATGTAATGTTTTTAAATCCATACTCATATCAGCTACTAAGAGCAAAAACTTCTTGAATCTGAGAATTCTGTACCTTCTTTAAACATAATGGTATAAATCTTGAATAATACAATCATACCAGTTGGTATTATTTGACCAAGTTGCTATTGTTACATTTACCTCTCCCAAAGAGGTTAATATGCTTTTGCCAATGTTGGTTTGCTATATTAGCAGCCTAAATTAAAAAGATATTGACAGATTTTGATAATATTTTTTGTGGAGGAACAAAATAGTCTAACTAACTTAAAATCCTTTCGATTTTGTTGGTGTTCCATGAATTTTATCAGTTAATTGATAGGAATTAGAATAGAGTTAGCTTGTTAGAGCTCCGTGTTCTCTGCTTGCGTGCTTTTTTCAAGTTGAAAATGCTTTGTAGTTTTGTCATGAAAAGTCAATATTGAATGTCGGCCTTGAGAGTCTCAAAGCCCGTCAAAATTTATGCATCAGGTGTTATGCAACCCAGATAAGTGTGCTCTTGAGAGACAGTTTTGTAGTACCAGTATATATATATATATTTGAGGAAAGGCTTGTTTTGGTAATTTAAGTTGCTCTGTTGTACATTTAGGCTGTCACTCTCATGAGAGGTGAAATAAATGAATTTCTGGTCTTGAATACTGAAGATGAAAGAATCTTTTGAAAAATGTCGAGTTATGTTAACAATTATAATCATATGATATTGATAAATATCAATAAATGATTTTAACAACAACATCATTATAATCAGAGATAGTTATCAGTGTGATCAAGATTAAAAGTGTGTTTGCCTACAAACATTATCTGAAATAAGGTGCACAAAAATGATATACTGCTTACCACCCTTGAATGAGCTTATTATTTGTTCTCTGAAGACAGGAAGGAAGGTGGGGTCAAGAATGATCAGCACTTCAACTGCCCTGTGCAAAGGTTGCATGAACACCTCTCATAACTTAATTATCAACCATGCTTTTGGAAAGGTTCAGGTGGAAATATCAGTTAATGGATCTGTCTCTCCCTCTCCTGGAAAACATGTAATAGCATATAACCTGGGAGCAGGCTTCCTGCTAGCAACATATGTGCTGACATAATATGTACCTGTATATGTGGAATGCTCATTATTGTATATTTGTGAACATACACTTTTTTAACCGGCCATTTCAGGGCAATTCATATTTGTATCTTTTTTTCCTTTATGTACTACAGATCCTTACCAGTACTTGCATTTCAGGGCACTTCACATAATAGTATACAGTTGATTTTTTGTAATGTATATACATCCTTACTCATACAGGTTATTTTAGGGCGCTTCTCATGTGTAGTTGTTTTCTGAGGTGTATTTCCTTACAAACACCTGTCATTTCAGGGCACCTGTATTATCTTAGATTAGAGAACAGGTAGTTATCAAGGTGGATGAGGTCAGGTTGATAAATTTTTGGGGTTTGCCAAGTGATTTTAACTGACCCAATAATGAATCGTTGACAAAAATAAATAAATTAATTAATTAATTAATTGATTAAAAAATAATAATTTTTTTTTAAGCTGAAGTTACATTACATCCTTCGTTTGGAAAAACAGACATGCACAAACATACACAGTATGCATGCTAGTGTGTTTTTCCGAAATTGTGCATACAGTTTTGATGTTGTCTAACATGTGTCAATAAACAATTGTTTGACCTTCAGTCAAGTGTTTGGGAATGCCCTTGTGCCACTGTTTATACAGATTTATGGGACAGATCATGTTTTTCTTGTGAAAATTTGTTTTGAGCAGCTAGCTATAGCTAAGCTACGTCAGAGGAGTTGAATAGCGAAGAAGTCAACAAACATATTTCTTCTGACACTTGATCTGTTCATGGAGGGAAAAATTGGGGCAAACAATTAGTAAAACAAGAATGAGCCCTATGTGTTTGTATGTCAAAGTGTGATACCTGTAATGTTTAGTAATTTTTTATATGCAGACTGTATGTGTCTAAATGCAACCTGATCACTGTCTGCGTCGTTGCCCTCTGATGCATCTGACTATGTTACCATTTCAGCATTTCAACCAACATAAGGCATTGCTTAGAAAACTGACAGTTCATACCTAACAATTATTGTCATATTTCAAGTTATTTTTCTATAGCAAGCCAAGCTTTTCTATAATTGCCTTTGTAAGTTAAACACATATTATAAGTGTTGGCTTTTTCGTGTGGCAATTTGCTGCTGTGTATGAAAATATCTTATAGTTAATCCATGTTTTTTTTTTTTTTTTTTTTTTTTTTTTTTTTTTTTTGTATGTTGGTAATTTACATATGAGAAGCAATTTACACAATTGCCTGAGAGGCAAGTTAAGCTCCTACTTACCAGGTATCACTTTACAGTTTGTGCGGTTTTGTATTGATTGCCTGCACAGCCACACCTCATTGTATTGAATTCATATCTGTGATCACGGTAAACATCCTTTGATGAATTCTTCTATGATAATAGTAAAAAAAGATCAACTACGCTGGGGTTCAGGTATATCATGATGCATCACTGGTCAACTGTTTGTTTTGAGAATTGTTTTGGCCAAGTGGCTCAAATCTTCAGAAAAATATCCCAATAAAGAAATAAAATTCTTCTGGTTAACTTTTCCCTGACTGTAATATCTTTTATATTTGTCAAGTCTATGATTATTTTTAGATGAGCCTGTTTTGCACTTGGTATATTTCATTTTTTTTATATCCCTAATAAAGCTGTTCATGATATCAGCTAAGTATTTATGAAAGCAGGTGGTATAGGAGAACTATATTCATGTCTGGAGAGTGCTCAGTGTGGGAGTACAAACAGATATGTGGAGAGGGCAATTAAAGGAATATTCAGCTATGGATTTGTCTGCTTTGAATATCAAATTATGAACAAGGGACACTTAACTGTGGATAATCGAACATGAAGGTTGTTCAAGGATTTTTAAAGGACTTTGGTTATTTTTAGCATGTCAGAGTCATCAGTTGTGGAGTTCATGTGGGGTGATGCCTGTTGGAGAAATGTGGCAGTTGTGATTGTGCTTATCAGGTAACAGCAATGAGGAACACCTAACACATTTTGATTTATTGGATGTACAAACAATACTAGGTGGATGTGTTTACATCCATGAGTTAGAATATAGCAAAACACAGTCCTTGAAGCAAATTTGCTGGGTTCACCTGAGAGGGCAGTGATTATTTCATATAAGGAATAAAACAAACAAAAAAGATAAAAATATAAGATTTGAGGAGAGAAAGACGGAGAGCGTGAGAGAGAGAGAGAGAGAGAGAGAGAGAGAGTCACATGTACATGAATTTTGAATGTACATGGTACATACTGGTATATAAACATTTAGCTTACTTGGAATGAGAGTGATCTGCATAAAATCATCTAATGTACTTCTGATCACCGTACATTACAACTATTAATTATAATAAGAATGCCTATAGTAGATGAATGAAAGTAGAGTTTAGTATATTGATTTCAATTAATTTTTTTCTCTTTACGGATCTATACACAAGTATATACATATAAATGAATACAAATGTTTAACTTCTTTAGGTATTGGTGTGGCCTGTATAGTAATAGTATTCTTGATGAACTGTTACTACATCATCATCTTGGCCTGGGACATCTTCTACCTAGTGGAGTCATTCACTTCAGTGTTGCCTTGGTCTCACTGTAATAACACATGGAATACAGAGAGGTATAATGTGTACACGTGTGTGTGTGTGTGTGTGTGGG